ATGCTGCTTTCCACTCTTTCGTGTCCTATCTTTTCTTTTTCCTTGTCCTTTTCGTTTTACACGCTTGCGCTCGCGCTCGCTCCGATCTCCACTCGGGATATTAGCAGAATAGAGATCTGAGACAAATTAAAAGAAAGCTGTTTGGCTGTAGATCGAGTCAAGGAAAGAGAGAGAAAAAGAGATGTTTTAATGTTACTGCGCACTACGTAAGCTACAGCACGATGTTACCTGGATAACTATCGCATGTTTTCTACAACGCGCTTCTTATTTTTCTTCTTCTTCTTCTTCTTCTTCTTCTTCTTCTTCTTCTTCTCTCTCTCTCTCTCTCTCTCTCTCTCTCTCTCTCTTCTCATCAACTAATTGATTTATCTTCAACGAGCGATTTTTTTCTAACATATTTCATTTATATACGAATTACTGTGACATAATAAAAGACATTTGTCAGCGCAGTTTTATTTAACAATTATCACTGTATTTTTCATTATGCTGGAATTGCTCGAAAATGCATCAGCGAGATGGGGTGGTATGATTGCGCGCGAAAAGCAACAGCAATGCACATCCAATTAACGTTAACTTCGCCATCTGCGCACACGTTTCGCCGGATAATATAATTACGGTAAGGATTACCGGAGTGGCCCCGCTGCTGGTTTATTATTGCCGCGATACAAAAGTGCATTAGCGGAAACAATAAAGTGCGCCGCCGTTGATCAAGAACGAGAAACGTGAACGCCTTCTTCGAAGCTTACACGGCGGAGGCACGTAGCTTTGCAATTAAATCGCTTTCGAGTGAGGAGAAAAAATGAAGGCACGGGGAGAGAAACGCGTTTGTAAGATGGTCGATCAAAGAATAAGAAAAGAATAAAGAAGCGAGAGCGGAAAGAAACGCGGTAAGAAAATTGCAGGTCTCCGGTTCGTGTGGCAGCTGATTTTATAATTTGTAGGATAAAGTAGTAATTAAAAGTTTACGTGACGGCGAATGCAAGGTAAAGTCACGTCGCTTTTGTACCTCTGTACTTACCTTCAGCTGCAGAAGTAATTAAACGTAACTTTTTAATTAAGATTGGACCCCGTTCGCAAACGTATCATTCCACAACTGCATAACTTTGATGACGATTGTGTATGATTTCGTTGATATAGATTAATTAGAGATACAGATATTATTGTTAACAAAATGTTGAATGTGTAATAGAAATTTTTTCAAAATTATTTTAACGCAAAATAGATTGCAAATGGTTGTACATACATACACATGTAGAGTTACTATCAAGACACGTTTTTTGCACGCCGCGAGATATAAACGTTTTTGATTAATTGTTCATGCATTTTTATTAATTGTTTATGTATATATGCATATGTATAAAATAACTGATGAGACAATACGCGATAAATCGAACCGTTTACTTTCACGGGAACACGAATCGTTCCCCCGATTTATTTGCAATGTACCGGCTATAAATTATTTTCACACGCAAAACGGGAATTGTAAATATGCTCTTCTCACCTGCGATATGGTAACATTCTAGTCATATCGGCGAACATTATACGATAACATGTGGAATATTTGTAGGATAGTTTATACTATAATATTTACGCATGTTACATCAAATAATCGGATTTAAAAAAAATATTGTTTTTTTGCAAAGATATATGAGATAATTTACAACCAGTTTCTTTCTCTCTCTTAACTTTTTCAAAAATTTGTTCAAAAACGAGGGCATAATATGCTGCAGCTATGAGGACTATCGTTAGATCTTTGACAAATTATGTATTTATTTCTAGGAAATATTATTTTTTTTCTTATATCAAAGTAGACTTAATTTAATTTTGCGATAATTATTTGCACAAACAGCGCATGATTGCACTTTTCTTAGTTTTTATCAAACTTCTTAGATGACAATAATTTTATTGTATTTGTCTTGCTGTAATGATCTTAAAATAAGAAAGAAATACTTATAATCGGCTTAAGATATTTAATTATTGGTTTCATGAAAATAAAGTATAACAATAAATTCTTATAATGTAGAAAGTTTTATGAAGATAGAGTAAAACTTGGTTATAATTAAGAAAACTATACTCAGTACTGTCGTAAAGCATCTTAAACTCGGAAAAGTGACGGTATTTTCTTAATAATTATTAAACATTTAATATTTTATATCCCTTAAATACCTAAGCTGTAAGTCTTCGTTATTTGTGATTAAGCTAAGGTTCTCGTGCTCTCTGACATCGCATTATAATAACGCGTAATCGCGCAAACGTCATCTGTGGTGCATTCCCCGGGGTGTGTGCGCGTGATACGTGTACAGCGTGCGAGACAAACGGGAGCTTTCAGACTTTAGATTCGGGGCGATCCATTCAGCCGCGAGGTACCTCGTCTCGCTTCGTAGGAACAATGCCGTCTCCATTTGCAGAATGAAAGTACAAACGGAAATGCGGGAGACAGAAGCGCGTGCGGCTAAACGAGCAGTCTCGTCCGTATGCGCTCTATCAAGACTGGGATAAAATTGCCTGTAGTTGAACAGAACTTCTCGGACAATGCGGGGCATACGGAATGCGCGAGCGAATGCATAACGCGCATCCGTGCACCATGTAATCCTTTCCCTCGAGACGCGTCGTCTCGCTGCGACATCTCTTTTTTTTGGGCTACAGTCCGATGCGCTCTGAACATCGATGAAATTTTTCCGCGTTTCGTATTCGATAAAACGTTGCCAACGCACGAGATCGTGTGTACATAAGTCATGCTCTTTTCATTGAATAACAATGTTTGCAATTGCATAGTCTCGTGTAGAATCAATTTGCTTTTTAAATGAAAGGCAGTGGCGAGCGTAATTTTAAATGAAAGGCAATTATAATATCTGTATTCCTCGGATTGGTCCACCGGCAACGCGAGTGAATTAGATGTAAAATTAAAAGTTTATTCTTTTTAATTAACCTTATTCTCTTATATATTTTTTCACTCGTTCAATATTTTATAATATTATAGCATCGTCATTTCAGCAAATTTAAACTCTAATCTATTTTATTTTGCTTTATTTACTTATTTGCTGGTATTTTGTAATAAAATTATCTTTATTTATGTTATCTAAAACAAAAACAAAAAATACGTTATTTACAAAGAACGTTGAAAAAGTGTTACAAAATTTATATTACATTTTAATTTTAATTCAAAAATTTTAATCATTTATTTTAGTCTACCAATTTTATATTTGAATTTTAATAAATTAAAAAATAAAATAATTTTATTTTTAATATATTTTTATTATATTTCATTTTACAATAGGACAATGCACTGTGATTTCAACGTGTTAACAAAACTGCCTTTATTTAAAAAGCAATAGTCTGAATATTGGTACTTTTGTTACTTGATTGTCGTTTGTTATATATTATTATACACTGGCGGCATTGTACTAGTTTCGCAAAATAACATTTCAATTGTATTAATATTGAACGTTTCGTCAGTACGTTGCATACGATAAAAATAACTCGTACTGGAAATTTATATTGCTATATATAGCCGAATGGAGTCACTAACGTTAGGCGCTAATCTATTTTTTACGTTTCAATAATCGAACACTATTTGCGCGAATGGCTCAAAATCTCTCACCACCAGTGAATTCGTTTAAGCAGTGAAACTAAAATAGTACGTGCTCGGTTGTTTACATCACCCAGTTGATTAAATTTCATTCTCCAATATTGAAACATCTAGTTTCTACATTTAATTTAATTATATTAATCAATGATATATTAATCAATATACACTCGTAACTCTTGCGACAAATAACTTTATTTATAGTGAACAGTTTATCGCAGAAGTCATATTTACCTCCTCTAATTGTTATATAATTAATATTAATAACCAAATTGAAATAGTAGCTGAATAAATGTTGTCGTATCAGTGATTTCTCAGATGAAAAATAAATTTGCACATTATCGAGAAAGAAAGCTTTTACTTTTAGTAAATTTAACATAAATTAATAAACTAAAACTAGTATATCTTAATCTTCAATGATGAATTAACTGTAATTTTAATTCTAAAAGAAAAACCTTTTAATTAGAACGGTTACAGAGATATTTAAAAGTCGGTTATATCGAGCGAAACTAAATGTGTGTAAATGGATTCTTATCTTACGAGAAACCATCGCAATGTGAAACGCATGCGATTTTATGCGGGGCTGTACAGCTTCTGAAGGAGAGAAGAAACGCCACTGACGGCAGAATACGCCGGCGATAAAAATGTTTAACCCCCGTGAACTTTTATCCCGAGATTTCACAGTGACGCGAGGTGTGTGCGTTGGACGTGTATACCGCACGAAGATTTGCGGTTCCTATCCCGATACTGACTTGCACTACTTGTTGCGTCAGCAGTCAAGTCTCTCACGACTTTTACTTCGTAAGCACGCGCTGTTATCCTAGAGGTGCAATATGTGTCTTTTAGCATATCGCTCTTCCACTTTTCGCAAAGACGATAATTTTTCCATAAAAATTAGATATATCCCGATATAATAATGTTTGCACAGGAGATATTTTGTTTAGATATTATTTACGTATTATTTGTAGTACTATCAAACTTTAAAACTCTATTAGATTGTTTGAAACTTTTCATACAAAATTTCAGACATATATATTCAAGTTTTTGTTAAAATTAATTAGGAAAAAATTATAAAGTCAAATAGTAAAAATATTATGTATTGATAATAATTATTTATAATAGAGACATAATCATTATGGGCATACATTTAAATTTCTTAAGAATTAACAAAAAATTAATTAGCTAACAAGGAGATTTAACATCTATGTGATATAATACTATAATAAAGTGTTTTTTTTTTTTGTAAATAATGTTCTTAATTAGCAAAATTATTAAAAACAAAACATTCTAGCTACTAATATTGTTTGTAATAAATTTGCAAGAAAAAGATGTTAAAATTAATTTTATTATTATATTACTTTAGTTGTATATCCATCATTTTAAATATGTTTTATTATAAATTAATTTAGCGAGAAAGATTATTGTTGTCGGATAATAATTTAATTAAAATAAATAAAAATTTTAAAGTTACAATTAACATTAAAACAAAATATAAATTAGTTAGTGACAGACATTAATTAATTTTGGCATTGTTTTCTCAAAAATATGTAGTCATAAGTGACTAAAATTGTCAGAACATTATTTTAACATTTTATCATAATATCATATAGGTGATGCTATATATAAGTGGTCTCTTTGTAACATTTATCATAATGAGTTTTTTTTTATCATTATTTTGTCGTAAATTTACCAAAAAAAAAAAATGTTATGTTTTCAATAAGTTGCGCATTGCAGAAAGGAATATCATAAATAAGTGAAATATTGCGTCAATTTAATAAAATAGTGAAGCTATTTTAATGAAATATTAATTGTTTTCATGTTTGTCCAAGATGATTGAATAGATTTTACGCTCCATCTGTAAAAAAATAGATTATTAACAACTTTAAAAAAAATAGCTTTGATCACAGGTAAACAGATAACAATTTTTTATAATAGCTCTCTTAGGATCTATGTGGATATTAGTATTCATATGATTGTTTTATGCTTATATTACTGTCTATAACAGATACAAACTGTATACAAACTGTACATTTTGTATACTTTGTATAGAATTTATTACGTATTATACTCACATTATACACATTTAATACATCTATGCATAATGGCTGTTTTATTGAACATGTACATGAGGTGAATAATCAAGCTTTATTAAAGGATTTAATCTGTCTAACCTGTGAACAGATTGGCAATTATTTTTATTTTTTAATTAAATATAAAAAGTAGTTTATATATATATATATATATATATTTGTTTTTTATTTATTTATATTAATGTTGTTGATTGTTTTCATTTTTTAAAACTTTTTATCTGCATATTTATGATTTATTTACATACATAAACAAATTAATTGCAATATTATTAAAATAAATATTAAACAAAATCAACTCACTTCTGTTGTAAATATCTAATTCGGAAATATTGATATATTAATATAATACCTAATATAATCACGAGAATATTACATGCTTTTAAAACAAAATCTTTTTCTGTTAATGTTAATGCATATATATTTAGTGTATTTGCACATGTAGCTGTTACATTGATACATGTATTTTGTATATCTATACAATTTTTAATCTCGTTTTGAACTTTTGTTTGATTTTCTGTAATTTTTTCGATTTTTGAAATAAGTTCCGTTGCAACATCTAGAAAGATAAATTTTTTTTATAATTAATTATATTATTATAATTATTAACAGACATTAATTTAAAAAAATAAGAAGTTTTTATTTGTATTAATAAAAACTAAACTAAGTTATATTTATTTGTTAGTTATTTAAATTTATTATTAGCAAAGTAGTTTTGTTAATTAGATTAATTAATTGTTAAATAGAAGTTGATCAATACAAGTTATTAATAAATTAATTTTGTTAATTATAAATACAAATTTAAAAGTGTAATTTAATGCCAAATTTTATACAATTAGAAATAAATTACATCAAATTGAAGTACAGAAGGAAGAATTAATCTAATTCTGCATTTTTAAAGGCTTATTTTTTAGTATTAGTAATTTATTCTAAAAATTGCGCGTATTACAAATTAAATTAAATTAAATTAAAAATAACAATCTAAAAAAATATTTGTAAATATCTTGCTTTCCACAATGGTTAATGAACAAAGCGTGACATTAAACAAGAAATCAATAGAACAAACGATTATTTGTATTGTTTTATGATGTACATAATTACATGTTGTTACCTGAGATTAAAATTATGAAAAAGATGATGTATGCTATTCGCATCATAATGATTATTTCTTATTAACTCTGTTTTAAAACAAGATAATATTATAATTGTTTAAATTCAATTCCGTTTAGTGTTGTTTGAAATTGTTGTGTTGTAGTGTTGTTTGAAATTTATATATAGCAACTCTAAAAAATGGAAAATAATTTTTGTTTAATACTTAATTCTACGTAGTATAATAAGAGGAATTAATTTCTTGCCAATTAATTAAAATATAAAGCATAAGATAACATATGAAACATAAGATTCTCAATTTAATGATATTTTATAATATCATTAAACTGAGAAAATTATATGACAATCGTTACATAAATGATAACTGCTGACAACTGTTGGAAAAAAAAATACAAATTTCAAAAGAGTTTGATAGAATGTTTTGTTAATTTTCTATATCGGCGAAGATTTCACTCTATTTAGCAACTATAATAAAAATTACAAAGACAAGATATTGATAAAAAGCTTGCTATGGTAATTAATATACTAAATCGTTATTTACCTGATTCGATATAAAAATTAATAACTTTACAATATCACTTTCTCTTGTCAATTTGGAATTTTGTGTCTATATTGTCCGCACGACACCACGATAATGAGTTCGTCTTGTTGACGTCTTGTTGACGAAGGCATATTAAAGGTACGTTCCACTTGGCGATCGCAACGCTTGTGGAATCATTTTATCTTTGTTTTTCATCGAAAGTTAAAGAAAGATAGATAATGTTCACGAGCGTTGCGATCACCAAGTGGAACTCAGCCTAAATCTTAAACTCTAGGTCATTTATTTTGCATGTATGTTATTGATCAATGCCAGTACCGTACCATACCGAATATTCTTAGGTAATTCTTATCATATCGCACCGTTATTTTGCATGTCTTTGTTCTGGACAATAATTCTGAAATTGCTCCTTTTTAACTATGTGCAGATTACTATTTATTTTTTAAAGTAACAAATATTTCTATCTATCAACATTGAACGCTGTTTATTCTAAATTTTTTTTATATTATAAACAATAGCTGATCTACAAGATTTAAGCTTTTACTTATTAAGACTTTTTATACTGAAGAAAAAACCGCTACTTTGCATTGGGGTCTTTCACGCGAGTCTTTTTATGTACCGAAGCTACCATCTCCTTTTGTTTGCATCTTTCTACCGTTTTCGACGGAAAATTGTTTGTATAATACAACAATTTGAATAATTTAGCAATATTATGACTACGAAATGGGATCAATACGATCCGGTTTCTGATTTTTAAAGATTAATTACTTTTTCTAAGTTTTAAATTTGTGGCAACTGTCCCATTTCAAACCGATATGTAATCAAATTTTTAAGATAAAAACCGCATAGCGCTATTGATTTGTTGAAGAATTATTGATTAAGAAATTAATTATTTTGATTACTAAATATATATGCATATGGTTAAATTATATAAATTATTTAGCAACAGGAGAGCAATATAAGAAAGAGAAAGAAAACCGTTCTTGTATCACTGTTATATCTCAAAAATGAAAAGAATTATAATATTTATTTCAATTGTCTGCTATTACGTCACGCATTTTATATGATCTTCACCTCCTTTTTAACGACATTCATATACATTTTCATTGCTTATTAATCCATAATTTTATAAAAATTTCGAGTTTTCGGAATTACTGCTTATACTTATACTCTGATAATATTAGGATTTTTATGTCATTAAAGAACGAAATATAGGCAAAATAGACAGGACAAAAATGAAAATGTCGCAATTTTGTCTAGTAGTTGCAATCGACCTCAGGTTTCTCATCCCATTGCGCAAAAATGGTTCTGGGCGCATTTCTGTCCTTCGCTTAACTATTCTCTTTTACTTCTCTCTCTCTTTCTCAAAACGACGATAAGATCCAAGGTACGTCGGCCGACAAAGAGTAATGCGCCCTCCGGAGGCGGGTAATTACTAAAAGATGCCGTCCTTCTTTACTCCGCAAGGCTCGCGTTAGTCGTTACTGACGTTCTCTTATATTTTTCTCTTCTTCTTTCCTTTTTACTCATCCGCCAACTCGTTTCTTTTATTCCTTCCTCCCTTTTTCTCCTAATGCATCGCGACTGCTTCTGCAGCTGCACGGAAAACGGCACTCCGGAATATCGACGAGCATTTTTATGAAAATGTATATGAATGTCGTTAAAAAGGAAGTGAAGATCATATAAAATGCGTGACATAATAGCAGATAATTGAAATAAATATTATAATTCTTTTCATTTTTAAGATATAATAGTACTTTTTGCTCTGTCAACTTTTAGACTTTACAAAATTACGCGAAGCAATTAATATGATCATTAATTGCTACAAATTTTATCCAAAAAGCTTGTTAATTGTAATGATAATTGTGGTATCGCAGTAACATATATTAATATTATTTTAAATAAAAAATCAGATTTTTTTCTTATTAAAATATTGAAGTATTGAGCAATATTGTATAACGATAGCCACGCTACATATTATGTTACTTAAAGATCGTAATTTTTAAATGCGTTTGAATGAAACGCCGATATCAATACAAAGACATTGGAAGGAAAAAAATCTGGAATCGAATAAGAAATGTACGAGGCAGCCATTCGGTTATTGGAAACGCGACGGGAAATCTAACGTAGATTCCCGAGAAAATCTTAGACAAGGATCGAGAAGAATTGGTCGCAGAATTTCGGTACGAGACGGCGCTTGTCTGACAACTCATGTCGATGACTACTGAGATACTTCACTGTTCGCGACGTTTCATTTATTTTCGCTATGATGTGTTCGCTGCGACGATGTGTTTCCAGAATGTCATCATTTTCGAACTTTTTATGATTCGTTTTGACACAAATCCGATTTTTCAAGAAAGCAAAAATCCGAGTTTCTCTTTAACGTAAAAACAGACGGGAATTCTACAATCCGTGAATATTTTAGTATTTTTCTTTTGTTCCTCCGATTTATAATTATTACGTTAAAAATTTGTGACATTTGTCTGTTAAAATATTACTTAACATATCTGTAAATGTGGCTTGTATGTATTTATATAATTCAAACCGGAATTCGTATTTCAATATTGATTGACATCAACGAGATAAAAATGTTTTTTTAAAATCAAATTTCTTACAATTAGTCTTTTCTCGAAAATAAGCTGTGTTACAATTTTAGTGGAATATATATAATTAAATGATGTTAAACAATCGATACCTATTATTAATAAACGCTATTGTTGGTTTGTATAATTAATTATTTAAAATGTCTAAACGACAATAGAAATGAGACCTGAATGAAATGTCGATATGCCAATCGAAAATTCCGCATTGTCGAAGATTAAATATAGATCTTGCATTAATATGCATTCTATGATTAAATATAATTTGAAATATGATAATTATTTTATATAATTGATACATATTGAAACTTTATACGTAGGAAACTAAGCTACCACGCAATCAAACCGCAAATAATAAGATAAAATAAGATAATTCAAATAATTGAACGACGATCTTAAATAAATGATTTTAATACTGTGCTTTTATAAAAAAAAACTGATACAAATATAGTTGTGTAATTTATGAATTTTTGAATAGTTTCTATTAAACTTATCAAAACAAGCATAGGATAGAAACATGTTACGATAATTTAATATTTTAACATTAATATAATTACTCTTTGATACCTTGTTGTAATTAATATAGCTCATTTATAGCTAATTTATAATTTATCAGATTAATCAACTGTAATAGGAGTACGCTTTAAGAATAGCTCAAATATCATTGCTATTGTATTTCTAATTAATATTTGTTTTAATAGTGCAATCTAGTAGAGATTGAATTGGGTCAATATATGAATAATGAAATAATAGCAAACGGATGTCGATATGTATTTTAACGAATATCTCTTATAATCTTGCAAATAATTTAAATACTTGATGAATATTACACATATACTATGACAAAATGGGTAATTTTATGATTATATTTGTCATTTCGTTTTATTTTTACAATTTGTTTTAAGAACCAAGATAAATTTCAAAATAGAATTGATTTGTATCGTGCATTATTCAGATATCAGGTCTCTTATTATAACGTATGTCGCCATAAAGTCATTTATCATTTAAAATTTGTCAGAAAGCTTTCAACTTACAATGCTGAATATCTGACAGATTAACATTCCAAACATAGCTTTTTGCAAGAAATTTAACAGCGTTATATTTTTAATTACTGTTTAGCGTTTTTTAACATAAATTATAATTTCAAACGATAACTGTCAGATATGTATTTATACAAACTATATAACAAAAGAAATATGATAAATAAGCTTCAACAGATGTGAATACCAATAACTTTACATAAATGTCAGTTTGTCGCCACTCTCTGCTAACAAGCCATCATTGTTTTACATCATGTTGCGTTCGCGAAGGGACGCTGGTCGAGACACTCGATACAGGAAATCGTAATTTGGTCGGAGCTCAAATAATCAGCGCAGAACATAAGGTCGAGGATTCTGGAAATTTCTATCGGGGATGATGACTCTTCTCTCGGGAAATAACCGGAGAAAATCGGGAAAGAGCGCGTGGGTTGCAGGAGGGGAATAGAAAAGAACGGCATTGAATCGAGAAGGAGAAACAAGGCACGGTCCCTCGGCGAAGGGGAAGTCTTCGGGATCAGAGCGCGCTTTCTCCCGTATCGATTATGGAAATCGTGCTTGTTCCTGCTTCTTCGAGTCGCGAAAAATACCTCGAGTACACGTCGACTCGACGGACCATGAAGTCGAGCCAATTCGACAGTCAGTTGAATATAGACGACGAGGCTTGACGAGGGTAAGCTGAATTCGACGTGAAATGGCCTCTCGCTGTCATTCCTGTTCGTAACGAGAAATTTGAGATGAAAGAGAACGAAGACAGTGGAGCAATTTTCGAGATACTTATCGAGTTTAACCTTGATAACCTTGTGATACGTACACTGTGAAATTGCTATTCTCTTTGTTCTATTTATTATATTCTTTTATTTTAAAATAAGGTCTTTTAAAATACAATATGTGCAAAGTACGATAAATTTATTATAAAAATATACTTAATATTCATTTCTCGATCATTCGAGATTATCGCAAAAAAAAGAACCGACATGATTATATATATAATGCACATTGTTGAACGTTGTCTCGTATCGAAATTCGGTAAAGATAATATATATACAGTTTATTTGCGGCGGAATAAATGAAGAAATATAAATAAATTGCTTTTGTTTTAAGTTAAATTGCATTCGTTAAATTATTGATAAATAAATTTCATGATAAACTGATAAATACTGATTTTTACTAATAAATAAATTTAATTAAAACGTAGAATATTCCAATAAAAGCTGAAAGCGTTGAAATATTTTTACAATAATAATATCAATATCAATTTCACAAATGGCAGCGTTGTTCATGAGAACGTAACAAAATAATCGAACAGAAAATTAGGAAATACAGCTGTAACTGTGATCGATTCAATCTGTATGAGAAATTGATTAAACTATGTATTTACTATGCAAGCATCGTAGCGCTGATAGCCTCTGACGCCGCATTAGGCTCTTTAGATGCACAACACAATCTCTTGAGACTGTTTAGGTCGTATTCTCTTCGATAACGCAAACATAGTTATTACTACAGAATCTTCGCGTCAGTGGTATTTGTACACGGTTCTGCTATGTGCTGTTCGGCGCTTTGACCCTTTCTATTGCAATTCTAGGTCACGCTTGCACTGTGTAATAACGACCGTAA